GTTTTATTAAAGAATTCTAATGCACTATTGAGCAAATCAAAAAAAAGGAAATAACAAAAAGACTAAATAAACAATAAAAAATATACAATAAAATGGTTAAACCTATTCTAAAAACTAGTATATAATAATAATAATCCAACACGAACATCTTTAATGCTCACTCTAATATCAAACTGATCTTTAATTTTATTTAATAATCGTCATACCAATATTCGTTTAATTATTTTCAAGAAATCTATAAGCTTTATGCCTCTTAGCTTCATATTATTAACCTATATTATACAGAGTCATGTTTCTTTGCTAGTCGGGATTACGAAGAATAAGTTTTTACAAATAAAAGACAGCTTAAATTGCTGAGTTTATTTGATTCATTATACTCATAGGCTAAACTTAAACGTTCAAACATACCTCTCATCTAACTTCCGGATTACTTCATTAATTATCAAATTACTTCAACAGTTTAAAACAAGGTATAACTTTTAAATTTTCTTGATCTTAACTTTTACCGATTCGTACTTGTGATTATCAATCCTGCGAAATGTTATGTTAATATGAAGAACATATTGTGTAACATTTCGGTCGATTATCTCATCAGATTTAAAGCCCGCTATTCTACTCTTAATAGCTTACTCGGATACAACAGGTAAAATTTTATATCCGAGCATATCTGCAATTTACTCGAGTAACCCATGGGTTTACTCGTCAGTTAACCGAGTAATGTTTTTTTGACCGAGTACAATCACTACAAATTTGTCCAACCTGAGCGTCGGTAAGTTTCGAAAAGGTAGACAATCAACAAACAAAAAACATGTTCGCCGGGAAGTTCCATTACGGGATCATGTTATATTTGGTTACACCAAATCATGCAATCTGATTGGCAATCTTGGTAAATCGACCATATCAATAAATATTTTTGCAAAATCAAATCGACATTTTTCACTGTCCCTGCAATCGGGTATCCAGATCACCTGATTAGGGTCATTCGGGTGACCCAGGTTTTAGTTTTATTATTATTAGTTTTGGGTAACCGGTTACCAACCGATTTTCACCCGACAGGTCACGGTGGGACCTAGTAATAAGGTCACACAAATTTGGTTCTCATAAACATGAAACCTTTTGTATAAACTCAGCTGACTGGCTTTTTTTTATTTTTATTTTTTTTAATAATTTATACATAACTATTTATTATAAAAGTTTTTTTTATAAAGTTCACCCGGTTATTAAAACATATAAAAAATTTTATGTAAAAATTTCAAAATTTGACCGAGCTGGGTTACGAAAACCAATTAACTTTGCTATATCTATTTATACTTTCTATTTACAATGACCCCTATACTAAAAAGGCTCACCCGGTATAAAATACCCAAGTGCAATACGCCTAAGCAGCGTTTCGCCTTATGAGAAATCCTCAACTTTCTGAGGATGCATGCCTAACTTCTGTTGAAAATGAAAGCTAAACTATCTGTGTGATTATTTTTGAATCCAGACCAAAATATTATTACGTCATAAATCTAAAATAGGTAAAGAAATTGAATTGGATAAGAACCCAACTATTAGCATTTTTACTATGTTGAATTATAAATCGAAAAAATAAAATAAGGTTTCTGATTTTAATCTTGAAACCCCTAAATATTTATATTTGTCGTGACCGGGCTGGTAGAATCGGCATTTAATATTATACAGTAATAAACCAAAGATTTATGCACGTCATTTTTATCAATATGATATCTAGCGGGATATTTCGGAACTTCTGAATATCCGGAATTTCACCTCATTAGCAGAAAATTACCATCATCTGGCCTGTGCAGGCTGCACATCCTGAGTAGATTCAAAAAATCTTCTATGTTCCCATCCTTAGGCATGTGTATGGTTTATTGCCATCTAGAATGTCATGTATACAAAATCTTGGATAGCGATCATCTGCCTACAGATATGTGGATTTTCACATGTTACATTGGGTGTGCGATATACTATGTAGTTCAATGGTCACTTATATATTTTTAATTAGTCTAGATTTTTTAGTGATCATTATGTAATGATTTATATCGATATATAAAAACTGGGTCTCACTTTTTTAGATGTGCAGGCAGCACCTTTCTTTTTAGTAAAACCATTTGATATTAATTGTTTTGTTATTGCCATATCTATAAAGTTACGAAGTTTATTTTTACATTACCTATGGGGACCCCATTTTTTGCAGGACTTTTTTATGTATAATTGCTATCTCATTCATTTTAAGAATTTTTCAAATAAATATATATTTTTTTCAATAGAAAGACTTATTTGGCTTCGTAACTTTGTTCTTTGAAACTTAACCTTAATGTATGCAAAATTTGGATTTATATAACCAGTTTTAAGGGTGTACGTCTAATTATATTTTCATAGTCATTGAACTTTGCAACCAAAGAACATATCAATTAACTTTGTTTCACCAAAAATCTTCAATATTAAATTTTTATTTGGTACATATATAATTTTGATTTATATAATATATCACACACCCCAATGTTACATATAATGTACGTACGTACGTAGGTGGATTCGGAATCCCAAAAATTTGGAATCCACTTAAATGGATTTCGAATCCAGTGAAAACTATATAGGAAAAGTAAAGTATTACTAAAATTAATTCAATTTTGAGTTGGCGTTATATTCAGGATTAATACGGTATTGCATTTTTTGCCGCAAAAGCTAAAGCACGTACGTACGTACATAAGAGCATATGTACGTACATCAGTTAATAGTTAACTGCTAATACAGTTATAATACGTACTATACTTCGTTGCAAATGTGTAACCTGTCTCTGATTATTAGACCTGTTTTCATCCAGTTTAACTGATTTCAAATCATACGGGCAGCCGGGTGACAAATTTACATCCAGTTCGAAACTCTTATAACTTTGAATATCTTATTTTTTTTTGCCATATACGTATGGTCATGAAGTGTAACAGTAATGACTTTAAATACAGAAACACAGAAACATATGATGGGTCATGTTGTACGTAACAACATTTCGTCGTATATGGATTAGAGTGTAACAACTTTTATTGGTTCCAGCGTCGCCAATAATTGAGGGCGCCAATTTATAGTTAAACTTAGATTAACAGTACTGATACGTCAAATAATTATAATAAGAACAATGTCGGTTATTGGCGATGCTGAAACCAACACAGTGAGGGGTTTCAGAATTAAAAAAAAATAGCGTATTTCGAAAATAAGTAGGAGCTTAAAAAAACTTATTTGTATATCAAAATATTAAAATTAGAAAATGAAATGGGAGTGTTTAGAGACTCCCATTTAACGAAACAAATAAACTTTTTCAACGACAAAAATCATTATTACAAATTTATCGGAAAATGAAATAAAATCGATACATCGCTCATTTGAAAGTAAATATGTTATCTATTTCTGTCAAAATTAGTTTTCCGCACGTTAATTCTGAAATCCCTCAGTTTTTTACTTTTTTACCGTGTATACGTAGAACGAAACTATGGCTAAAATTTCCTCAATATTAAGAGAGAAAATTTTCTGCCCACTGTTTTTTTGTAAAACATTTTCATATTAAGCATCAATTTCAATATAATATTTATACTTTAATACGCTTTTAATTATGGATTTCTGATGCAATAACAAACTGAACGAGACTTCGTTCCATTCACCTAGAATAATTAAACCAAAATTGAGATTTTTTTTTCATTGAAATTTTTAAAGGAAAGATGAGTTGATAATCATCGATCGTCAAAGTAGAATGATTTGTTTATGATTATTCATAGTGATGCGCATAAATTCAATTATGATAATGCAGGCCACAATTGTAAGTAAATTTCGACATATTCCGGGAACTCTGAATGAACTTCCAAAATATTTGCATGCACATCAAGAAAATTTAAAACCTGATTATAATTGATTACAAACGTAAAAACCTGATTATAATTGATTACAAACGTTAATCATTATAATCGACTAATTTTAATCGACTACTATTGATTTCAATATGGTGTCAATTTAACTCAAAACCGATTAAAATCAATATACATAAAAATCAATTACAAACACATTAAATTATAATCGATTAGTAAATTCATTAAGTTCTAAATTTTCTGATGAAAAAAATGGTGATTTTGCACATCATTAATTAATACATAATGGCAATTCCGCCAATATACAGGGTGTCCCAAAAGTTCCTATACACAGACCCTATTTTTTATGTCCTTATATATAGAAATCACGATAATTATTTATGCAAATATGTAAATAATCATAATGAACTCTATATAATACTGTATATAGAGATCATTATCAAGTCATGATTATTTTCATATTTACGTAAATAACTATCGCGATTTCTATTGATCTCTATGTATAAGATCACATAAAAAATGGGGACCGTGTATAGGAACTTTTGGGACACCCTGTATGTGCAATTCCGCCAATATATGCTACCCTAATTTAGTTTATAATTCATTCTAAAGAAGTTAACAATGCGGTAATGTGGCTTACAACCTTTGCAGAATTCGGATGCTATGCAATGCAATTTATTGAAGTTAAGTGATTCCACGAGACCTGATCCAGAACGAATTTTTAAGACCATTCAAAACTAGTGTTTTTGCTTTATGTTCTCAAACATTTTTTGAATTTTTAATGTTCTTAAAAATTTTTTAAAGTTCTCAGCATTAGAACGTTAAAATTTTTTTATATTAAGAAAATTTTATTAAATGTTCTCAAATAGAAAACATCTTCTGTTCATAAAAATTGGTAAGTGTTCTCTGAGAACACTGAGTTGAGCACCATTCAGAACTATTTTGAAACTAGTCCAAATAATCATATGATATTAATCGATGTCATATTTGGATATCAAACAAATTTAAATAAAATTACATCATGAACAATATTTTTGGCATTTTCGGCTTGAAGTTTGCCACTATAATTAGCAAGAACTTGACCTTTACCAATAAACTTTTTTTTCAAATAATTATATCTTCCATTTGCGATCCGAGATGATGCAAGGAATTGATACGGACGAGAAAGCCAAAGATTTGCAATATACAAATGCTAATCAAGATTCAATCTATAACGATGCTAATCAAGATTCAATCCATAACGATGCTAATAAAGATTCAATCCATAACGATGCTAATAAAGATTCAATCCATAACGATGCTAATAAAGATTCAATCTACATCGAAGCTAATGGGAAAATTCATGATGAAGAAAAAAATATCGAAAAAAAATTGGTGGATAATGACATAGCTGAAATGATATCAGCTGTAAGTTATCGAATTTTAATTGTTATTTTAATATTTTAATATCTTTAATTGTTATTTTAATCAATATTTTAATATCTTTAATTGTTATTTTAATATTTTAATATCTTTAATTTTGTTATTTTAATATTTTAATATCTTTTTTGCGTTTTAAAATTAACAAACCCCCCCCCGACAGGCCGTTAGTACAGACGATGATCCAACTTTGCCTTGTTTAACTTTTCGATATTGGGTTTTAAGTACCGTAAGTTTTATTATATTATCGTTATGATATGAATGATGTAAGGGCAAAATCGGACTACGGGCTTTCAATTTTATTATTATTTATTATTAACCAGATTCAACCTTGATCAGAGATATATATGTAATACATAAATAGAGTTTAATTACGCACCATATATATCGATGGTCTGGGCTGTGTTCGGTAGATAATAAAAAAATTTGCCTGAAATTAAATGGTTTCAGGTTCTTTAGTGTTTTTTTTTTTTTTTTTTTTTTTTTTTTTTTTTGATGACCTGCAAATTTCACAAAATTTTGTAAACCACAATAAATAGATATGTTCATAACTAGATAACATCCACGCGTTATATAATTTCTTTTTACCTTATGAATTAAATATTGTAGTTCTTTACGGCATTGGGTGCTGCTATATCGGTATTCTACTTCTTCCGTGTAAATAACTTGAACTATTCAATATTCTTTGTGACACTCGCATCTTATATTGCCGGTAAATGGTTAGAAAAAGTCCTACCGAATAAGATATTTCGTATTAGAAATTGGGAATTTAATCTAAATCCAGGTTAATTACTTTACAAATATTTGTGCCTGAACCCAAATATCACGTGTAACTGTTGTACGTAAATTTTTTCAGGCCCTTTTAATTATAAAGAACATGTGTGCATAGCCGCTGCTGCTGCTGCGGGTGGTTCTAGCGCTTATGCTGTGGTATAATTCAAATTATTTCTTTTGTCTTTCCTTATAACTTCATTTTTTTTTTTTGTTAATGTCTATTTCTTCATACATACTTATAGGATATTATCTCTATCCAAGATTTATTCTATAATACTCGGGTCAATTTCTTAATAGGTTTCCTGTTACTAATTAGCACACAAATGCTCGGATATGGACTCGTAGGTTTTGTTCGAAAGCGTATGTTTGTTTATTTTTTGAAGATTATTATAGGACTTGGGCGAAACCCGCGTTGTAAATTAGTAAAAATCCGCTACGTAGATCACATTAGGGTGAAATCCGCGCTTAGCTATGTTTTTTATTATGCAAAAGCGAATTTCACCCTCATATGATCTACGTAGCGGATTTGCGGTCTCGTATAATTATTATTTAAAATATTTAATATTTACTTAAAATAACTTCAATTACATAAATTTAGAATTGGTTCGTCCTGCTAACATGATATGGCCTCAGTCTCTCGTCTATGCTAGCATGTACAACACATTACACGGCAATATTTCGGAAACAAATGATAGAATTCGTTTTTTTTATACCGCATTTCTTGCAATGTTCGCTTGGCAGTTTGTACCAGGATACATCTTTCCTTGGCTCATCAGTGCTGCTTTGTTATGCCTTATTGCTCCATATAGTAATGTGGCAAGGATATTAGGAAGTTCTCATAGAGGTGCCGGAATGCTTAATTTATCCTTTGATTGGAACGCTATTGGTCAAGCTTCTCCCCTGTTTACACCATGGTAACATTTTTGTCTATAATTCTTATTCGTGGGCTCTTTATTTAATTTTTTATATTTTATTTAATTATTTCCTTGCAATATAGGTGGTCTCAAGTAAATTATTTCACTGGTGTTGTTATAGCAATATGGATTGTTGCTCCGTTATTGTACTTTAATAATGTCTTGTGAGTAATTATCAGTTATTTACCTCGTTGATTTATTGCTAATGTCACAACTTAAATTAATAAATTGGTTTTATTTAGTGATGCCCAAAAATTCCCCTTTATTTCGTCTCGTTCATTCGATAAAGATGGAAACATGTAAGTATTGTTCTTTTAATTATTTATATTATATTAAGCTTATTAAATTAAATTTATACGATTTTATTTAGATATAAGCAAAGAAGTGTCATTGATCCACAAACTGGTGCTCTCAATGTTACTGCATACGAAAATTATAGTCCTGTATATTTGTCCGCTCCATTTGCCGCTTGTTATGGCTATTATTTCATGCAACTTACCGCGACCCTTTGTCATGTGATACTATTTCATGGAAAGGAAATTTGGAATCGATACAAAAAAACTCGTGAGGAAGAAGAGAAAGGTGACATTCACTGCAAACTGATGAGTGTCTATCCAGGTTTCATTAATATTTCTTTTTTTTCATTTATGTTAATTTAGAAAAAAGCTTAGATATGATTTATATATATTTTTTTTATGTTTATAACAGAAGTACCAAATTATTGGTACATTGCTATTTTCTTAATTATGTTAATAATTGCAATTATTCTTGGCCATACAACCGAGGCGAATTTACCTTGGTGGGCTTTGTTACTGACTGTTGCTATGACTATAATCATGGTACTTCCGATAGGTATAATATTTATAATCACTTGTTCAAAATATCTTGTTTGAAATTATATGATCTCATTATTCTCATTCTACTATAGGAATTATTCAAGCCATCTCAAATTGGGGACTTGGTTTAAATGTTATAACTGAATTAGTGTGCGGTTTTCTTTTACCTGGCAATCCCATTGGAAATGTATATTTTAAAACTTATGGACATGTATCTTTAACTCAATGTTTGTTATTTGTTCAAGATCTAAAATTAGGTTTGTCCCTTTAAAAAAGAAAAAATTATTATCGTTGAAATTGTTGAGGTTATCTAAATATTATTATTAAAATTTCTTTTAAAACATTTATAAGGTCATTATATGAAAATTCCTCCAAGAAGCATGTTCACATCACAAATATGGGGTACATTTGTTGGTATAATTGTAAACTATTGGACGATGTATATTATAATTCAGGCTAAAAGACCTTACCTTGATGGTACAGAAAACGATCCATCTGGTCAAGTAAGTAGTTTCATTAGGTCTGGTATTTTCTTTTGAAAAAATAAAGTTTCCTAAAAAAGAATGTTTTCAACTCGTGTGAATAGTGGGCTGGCCTTTTTTCATCAATATTCAATACTGCATCTATAGTATGGGGATTGATTGGACCGGCAAGGACTTTTGGGGTATGTCAATTCAAACAAGTATCACAGTATCACAGTAATTTTAAAGTCGAGTATCGCTTATAAATCTAATATTCCTTGTGGTTTTGGTAGTCTGACTCAGCTTATCATATACTCCTTTGGGGCTTCCTAATTGGTTGCTTTTTGCCAATACCATTTTATTTACTTCATCTAAAATTCCCAAACGCAAAATTTAATCTTGTGAATATACCCGTGATAACATTCGGTTTAGCTGCTTTTCCTGGAACTTATCCAAATTTCATAATCACCGGGTTCATTGCAAGCTTTTTGAGTCAATTTTATGCATATCGTTATAAGAAAAGGTAAACATATGATCTATCTATTTATTATTATAAACTCATAAATTAACTTTTATTATCGGATTATTTTATAGATGGTGGACAAAGTAGGTTTTTTTTTCCTATATTCTATTTTTTTAATTAATAATTGAAATAATCTTATTCTTTTATATAATGCATGACAGATATAATTATGTAATGTCGGCAGCATTTGATAGTGGTGCACAAATCATGGCAATAGTTGCTTTCATTTGTCTTAATGGTATTGCGCATGTTAGTTATTCTTTTTATATTTTTACTAGATCAGTTCAATTGTTTTTATATAATATATGATTTGACATATTTTATCCTCTAGGTTCCATTTCCAACTTGGTGGGGTAATGACCCGTCGTCTGAAAGCGAACATTGCTCTTCTTAAATGCCATGTACCGTATACTCTTCCTAATCAAAACATTTCTAAATGTATTATTATTTTTTTATGTTTATCGAAAACATTAAGCTGTAATTTTTATTAATTGATTAATGTTTGATATTTTAGAGTTTTCAACCTATCACCTGTATAACTGATAATCTGAACTGAAAAAAAATTCTAATCGGTTCATCTTATTTTTATCGAACCAGTTTTTTTTTTATAATATCCAGTTAATTAATAAATATTCCGTTAACCCGGATATCCGATTATTCGATTGACTAGGATATCCAACTTTAAAGACTAGGATATCCAACATTACAGGCAGAATTCTTCTGATTGTCCGTGATAATTAACCAATCAAGTTACATAATTTTTAACCGATTTATCATTTTAACGTTAATATTATTAAATAAAAAAAAACCTTTGTTGAATTTATAAATTAATAAATTTACAAAATAATTATCAAATATGTATAGAGGATAATACTCGTAGAAATAAATGTGTACATATTTATTATCCGATTCTTTACTATGATCAGACCATCAAATAACTTTATTATTTGATGGAAAATCATGTTCTTTATTTTTATTTTTGTTATTCGATGGCGACGTTTACTTATTATTCGATGGCAATGTTTACTTATGATTTGACATTTACTATTTACTAATTATTTAAGATGGCATAATTGTATTGAATTTGGCAATAAACTATATTTTAGTTAACTTATATTTCTTTACAGAAACTATAGTTTTTTTTACTAAATATAGTTAATATATAACAATTATATAAGGCCATGCAAACTTAATTAATTGGTTTTCATAACCCGGCCGGGTAAAAATTTGAAAATTTGTAAAAAAAAATTTTTGTATGTTTTAATAACCGAGTGGGTATTTTAAAAAATTTTTAAAAAAATTTTATAAATTTTTATGGGAAAATTTACATATAGCCGTGGCTACATGTAGCCTATACTATATAATATATATATATATATTATATAATTATACTATA